CTATGCCGAATCACAAGAGAATCAGGTTGAAATTCGATGAGGTAGTATCCAGGGAAAATAAGAAAATTTTGGAGCCGAATACTTAACGGAGCTATGGATTAATGACCTATAACATATGAAAGCTGGGATGCTAGAGGTAAAATATGTTCGACTGCAATATGATGCCGCCAATTACCTTGAACGTAGATGTGCTAAGTAGATATCCTAGATAGAATGAGCAATAAAATCTTCCTGGCAGAATTTGCATCTTACATAAGCTCCCTGTTCACTTGGCTAGCTTATTTACGGTCCACGGGAGAAATATATGTAAATGGAAAATCCACTTAGATTCAGTAGAGATCAAAAGTGATTAAGTATTTGAAACAAACCCATGATTTCTCAGAGTTTATATTAATCAGTGGATAAATATGAAATAAAGCAAAACGGATTGCAAGTTCAGATAGCCGAAATTTGGAAAATATAAAAAGAAGCCCAGAAGATGGAATATGTTTAATGCTGTGTAGCTGTTATTTTGAACAAGTAACAAGATTATCCGCAAATAAAGTACAATCAAGATTATATGATCGAGAATGAAAAAAATAAGCAATGTTTATTCTAGAAAAGGATTTTATCTTATTTCCCATATCAGCTAATCCATGTAGCTACTGCCTCTGAAGGGGAAATTTAAGGCAAATATTGATAAAGGGTACTCAGAAATCAATAAGAAGAGGACAGAGGTGAGATAGAAAGCCACTTTTCCATAGCGAAGAGAGTGCCGAAAGAAACCCGGCCTGGTTTCAATTCAGAATTAAGCTTTATTTCAATGGCATCTGCAGCAAGGTCGGATCCAACCTCAAGCGAACTTATTGGGTCTTGGCCTCTACCCGGAGAAATGACACCCCGAAAGTGTAGGCTGAAGTCCTCTTCTCGCCAAACTACCGGAACGGAATTGGTGGAGTCGAGATCTCGCCAGCACCTGTAAAGAGATGAACGTAACAGTTGCATATGAGCTGCCAAGGGAAATAGGAAGATTAATGAGGCGGTTGCTCCCAACTTCCTACACGAGGACCAATTAAAACGACAATAAGTTTATCCTATCAGAATTCAAGAAAAAATGCTGATATTGGCAAGAATAGAGGAGTGCAAGTAAAATAAGTTTAAAAAACATGAATATGCAAATAAAAACTTAGGCGTCATGGTATTGCAGAGTAAATGTAACATTCAAAGCGTCCCTCAAATCTCCTAGATAGTGGGATTGTCGATTATGCAAAAGCATTTTACATTGCAATCGACAACGTTACTAATTTTCGGTATAAGTAGTTTTGGAGACTATTAGTAATTCGTGAATATGAGTTAAATCACTAAACCACCAGCCCTCAAATTATTTGAGTTGACCTATGATGACTAAGTTTTGATTCAAGAATAACTAAGTTCCGAAGGCTACTACTTTTTAATATAAGTAATGTCATCGATAGCAACGATAAACGCAAGCTTGCTTGATAGATAATCCCATTATAGATAAGACTTGAGTGAGGCCTGACCTACCTTTAACGTCAGATTTGTCCTGTAACCCCTTAGAAGCCGTGGCTATCTAGTTAAGTTAATACGATATTTAAAACCCTCTGTCGAAGGCAGTTGGGGATGCCGATGAAACATAGATCGAAGCTTCGACCTTTTAGGAGACAAGGCCAAGTGCAATTCTTTGAAGTCTTGAAACTGAATGCTCCTCCTCACACACTTTTAGGTGTGAAAAGTTATAATAGATGTGGTCAAAACATCTGCTTCCTTAAGTCAGAAATTAATCGCCTTGAGTTATTTAAGGTGATTTAAAGAATGATCGTTAAATATTTTCATAATAATTCGAGGTCTTAATATGTCAATGAATTTAACTTAGCCTTGCCTCCCAAAAGGTTCATTTAGGGTCAACTGAATTTTCGCCCACGCCTAGACGTCGTCAGCACCCCCAACGGTAATCGACACCAGGTCGCGAGAAAAGTGGTAACGTCGCCACTCGACACAGCCACATGTGCAAATAGATAACAGAGTAAAGTTATATTCTAAGCAAGCCAGAGAATTTATTGATTTGTTACCTGATATGAATTGTAGTCATCCTAGTTCGTTAGTCATGGGGGACTGTTAATTGAATTTTATCGCAATTATATGATTATGCCTCAATTTTACGTTGAATACCGCATAGCCTTGCTTCCGAAAAGGTATCCTTACGCAAAGCGAACTGCAGTTTCCACCTATACTAAGTTCCATCAGCCCTCCCAGCCATACTCGAACTTGGGTAATGCGGTGTATAAAATCGACACGTTAACCACTACGCCAGATTTCCTTTAGTTCACAGGGCAAAAGTAAATTTTAAGGAAGCCTAGGCCTTTCCCTTATCATATTTTTGGTAAAATTGTAGATGACGCAAGGCGGCATGTGCTATAACAATCGATTACTTTACTTATTTTTTCGTTTACGTATATTTTCAAGCTTACCAATATCAATAATGTACGCTGCACTCGGGTTCGAGTCATATTGGTGCTGCTGATGAGACTTACGCGAAATCGAAACTGCAGTCCGTCCTGGATGAGATTTCCTGATAGTATTCAAGGCTATATGTAATTCAGTTTAAACATGGGAAAATTCAACTATCAGTCCTTCATCCCCTTAAACGAAATAGGGTAAATACGGTTCTTGTTCAAGAAAAACTGGTAGTCTAGAAGCCTAATTATAAACGAAAAGTTAAAAATGATGCCATCAGATATAAAAAACGTTAATTATCCATCCGCCCAAAACTGTTTTTATGCCGGAAATAAATGCTCTATTTTTACTTTATCCTCCTACAATTGGGCATCAAATAGGCCAAGAAACCTTGAAATGCATCCCAACAGGAATTATTTATTTATTTATTTATAGTGGTATAAGAATGGCTATGCTTAGACACCGGCTAAGAATAAATTCACCAGACAGAGCCGAGCTCGAAATGCAACGCCTTGCTAGGAAATCCAGAACATTCTGCCCAGTCAGGATGGGCAGAAAAAGAGCCGCAACGCAAAATAGCATCAGGAGTCTCCGCAACTCCACCTTCCACCGCTGCCGCATACACTTGGGAAGCTGGCACATGGTCGTTGCCAGACGATGCGAACACATCCATACAGAGGCGGCAGTCATGTACAAGCGCTTCGACCTGTCGTCGAGTCAACCATACAGCGCATTCGGCCTCGGAGGTCTGCAGATGCAGCGGAACAAGGAATGAACTGATGAGTAAATGTTTCGAAGAACAAAGGACAAAGAGGCAAGTTATCAGATAACAGCCAGGCAATGAGATTTGTAAACCTTAAGCCTAATAAAGCATACTTATGAGTGTGTTAAGATGAAATTAAGCAATGTACGCGTTAGAAGTTATTTGACCTCAGTTCAAAGAAGGGGTAAAATTATTCCCAAGGTAATTAACAAAACATCCTAGAAGATATTATTACTGGGACTATGAATGTATCAGAAAAATATCCAGAATAGATAACGCGGGAGATGGAGATAGAAATAATCCCAAGAATCATGGCACAACAAGATCCAATACACATAAGCAGATTAACTGGGA